GGGCACACTCTCTTATGATGGCATATTTCCAATGGGGTAAGAAGGAGGAGTTTGCTCGAATTTGTATCCGGAATTGAGCTTGATAAAAAACTTCCTTAGAGTTTGGGTTTGAGGATACACAACAACAACAATAAACAACAAATCAAGCTTTTATCCACTACGGGGGCTCGGCTACATGAATCCTTTTTCTCCATTTGTGTCCTTTAAAAGCAAATTCTCGTTTAAATCTAATAAAGAAAGGTCATTCTAATATTTTCTAAACCAAGTCTTTTTAGGTCTACCCCTACCTTTCTTAACACAAAGTCAAATCTAATATCTAATCTCCTAACTGGGTCGTCGAAGGCCGCCTTTTTATGTGACAAACCATCTAAGGCGACTTTCTTCTAATCTTATCTTCTATGGAGGCTATAAACTTTTCCAACCTTTTTCCGTATAATGGATCATTTCGTATCCTATTCTCTGGGTAAAGCCACTCATCCATCTAATAGCATCCTCATCTCTCACACACTTAACTTAGTATTATGCTTCTCTTTTAATGGCCAACATTCGGTCCACATTAAAGCATTGAGGCCTCACTACCATCTTATAGAATTTTCCCTAAAGTTTGAGGGGTACTTTCTTACATAACAAGCCCGATGCATTCCGCCATTCAACCATCAATGAATTCTGCGATATATCCCCATCTTTTCACAAAATCACTCTGAACAAGTCCAAGATACCTAAAACGTGTACTCTTATTAATGAACTTGATCGCCCAAAGTCACAATCCCCTCACTAGACTATACTGCTAAAATACAGCTCCATATATTCGTTTTAGATCTACTTCAATGCGAAAACCTTTAGGACTTAAGGTTACCTCCATATATTCAGTTTACCTTCAACTCCTCTCTTAGTCTTAATCAACAAGAAGAATATCATCAGCAAAAAAGCATACATCCAAGGTACATCATCTTGCAAATTCTAGTGAGAACATCCATGACTAAAGCAAATAGATATGGGCTTAAGGCTGATTCCTTGATGTAACCCAACACAATAGGGAAATAGTTGTCAAACACCTTGTGTTTTGAACACAAGTAATAGCTCTGCATAACATATTTTAATGATTTGAATATAAGCATTATTGACTCCTTTCTTATCAAGAACTCTCCATAGCACTTCCTCTTGGAACTTTATCATATGCTTTTTCTAAATCAATTAAATATCATATGTAGACCTCCTTATTTCTTATATTTTTCCATCAAAACTCTGAATAAATGTATGGCTTCCATAGTCGACCTAACCCCGGCAATAAATCCAACATTGGATTTTGAGAAACATTAGTATCACGCCTCAACCTATGCTCTATAACTCGCTCCCATTAATTTTAAAAGGTATGACACTTAATTATACCTTAATAATTCCGTGCAATCCTGTGCATCGCCTTATTCTAAAAATAGAATTAATACACCATTCTCCCTCATCTGGCATCTTTTTAGTCTTCAAAATAGTATAAAAAGTTAAGTAAGCCAAGAAAATCCTTCATCTCCTAAAACATTTCCACACCTCTATTGAATATCATCGGGTCCAACAGCTTTTCCACCCTTCAATTCTAATTTAAAGCCCTCTCTACTTCAGTTTAAAAACTAATACGGCTCGATAAAAACAGAAACTTTTACTTTCATTTAGGGTGCTAAGTACTATATGTCATTATTATCACACACTTCATTAAAAGTTTAGCAAATATCTTCTATCCACCTTTGTTGAATATCATCTTCTAAGAAAAGTATTTTTTGATCTTATCTTAATAACTTCCATTAACTAAAAATCTACTATCTCCTATCTCTTTGTTGGCTAACTTACATATATCTTTCTCCCTCCTTAGTAGTTTAATCTATTATATAAATCCGCTAAATGCTAATGTCTTGCATCGCATATTGCTTAGAATCTTACGAGCACTTTATATAATTCCCAATTATTCAGAATTTTAAATTAAACCATTTTTATAAACAATATCTCTTAATTTTTAATCATTTCTCCAATTGGATTCCACCACCACTATATTTTACTATGGGAGCTTTCCCCTAGATACTACTCCAAGCACAATCTTTTGCATATATTCTTAATATCAACTAGCAACGTTTTCCCACATAGACATTAGCATACCTCATGCACAGACACAAAATCTTAAGACTAAATCTTACTCACATAAAAATTTTTTGGTTAGATTTCTTTAAATGCCCCATCTAACCTCGAAAACGTTTTAACTTTATTTTTATTAATTATGCCTTATCTTAGTCCAAACTATAATGATGTTGGGTATAATTCACTTCAGGAATACTTTAACAATCTTTGCAATCTAAACGTTTAATTTTCTAATAAGAAAATAGTCAATCTGGGTTGTACTATCAAACAAGTGAAAGGGAAAATTTTTCCCAAAACCCTTGAGTAGGAAAAGATTTCTTTATCCTTATGTTTCATTGTGGTAAAATTGGGCATGCATCTGAAACTGTCTGCTTAAGATAAGATAACTGTTCTATCGCATGAAAAGAATGTTGATTCCTGTAAAGTATGGAAAATCTTCTGCAGCTATGGCTTCAAGAGTTAA